TAAAGATGTGGCCCACCCTAGTTTGCCTCCTCAACTTGATTCTCATTAGGGGTGAGGCTGATGAGATTAACTGGGGCCAAGACCTTGGTTTGGGGCTTCCAGATTATCTGGGAAGGGGTGAAGGTGGAATTTAGGCCAGTGTCGGATTTGAGCTGAGAGGCAGAGGAGGCCTCAGCAATGCTTCTTTACCCAGATTTCATTGGTGGATAGGGGAGTGACAGGGCCAAAATGTGTGTAGGATCTTACCATTGTTTGAACCCCAGCCTGCAGTTCTAGAGCTCCAGAGAAGCCCCCAAAGGTAAAGACTGTGTCAGGTGCAAATGGATCCTAGATAGTGCCTCATACCTCTTCAGTCACCATCCCAGACAGTGAGCCCAACCCTTCTGACTCTGGCCCCTATGTCCATACATCCTGTTCCCAGTCTCTCTCCTGGTTCCCTTGTTCACGTATCAGGTACCCCTTCAGTGTTTCCTGGGCCTCTGCTCAGAGGCAGGCCACCGACCTAGACCTGTGGATCAATGCAGTATCAAAGGCTTTAATATCATAATGAACTGTCAGGGGAAGTACTGATGAGAGAATAATCAGTGCTTCCTGGACCCTCAGGGTCTTGGGTTGAGAAAGGTGAATAGGAGTTTGCAGATGGAGAAGAGGAAAGGCATTCCAGGCAGAGTGAAAAACCTGGCCAAGGGGTATGGAAGTTCATTGGGGCTGGAGCTAGGGGTGGTCTGGATTCATTATAATATGTCCAGGATGCAATAAAGTGACTATGAAAACAGCTGCCTCTTTGTGTTTTGTCTCCTGTCCCAGGGAGACCCATGGGCCTGCTCACAGTGTATGCGGTGTTTTTTTTTGTTGTTTTTTGTGGGAGGTGAGGAGAAGCTGGGGCACCTGGAGGTGGGCACAGGAAGGAGGGGGTAGTTCCTGTTTTATCTTTGTCTGAGGTGACACTGGGGCCTTATAAACTATATGTGTGAATTTTTGTTTTTGGCAGAGAAATGGGTGCAGTTTTATTACTAAATAAATTTTAGAAATTAAAAGTGTTTTAAGAATATACTTAATCCCATTTTATAATTTGACAAAAATTTCATTTTTGGGTCTTTCCTTCAATCAAAGAGGGTTGTATGTTAACTTTTTATAGTATTGTTATATGTTAACTTTTATGGCTTTTTTTCAGAGTACACGAGCAATAGATATACAGTGAAGGAAAATTAGGAAGTACAGATAAGCCTCCAAATGCATAACATATATATATATATGTGTGTGTGTGTGTGTGTGTGATATATATATAACATCTATGGAGATTGTGGTTAGGGATGGAAGGACAGGTGGGATGCCATCATTTTTGCATTTCTGAGAAGCTTTCAGAATTTACAAAGTACTTTCACAAACATTACCTCACTTGATCCTCTTTAAAACCCAAGGTCACACAGCAACTCACGAAGACAGGCAAGGCTGAAAGCTAGCTCGACTCCAAATTTTTAGATTTCATTTTAACATTTTCTAAATCCTCTCCCCTGTGCTTTCATAGAAGTTTAGATTGTCTTTTTTTGAACCACAAAAGTAATTCATAAACAAGAGGGTGTGTTAACCATTCAGGGTAGTGTTAAGGACCCCAGTTTTGGAGCCTTGACTCCACCCTTCCTTTTGGGTTACTGTGAGGATTCAGCATTTAGACAAGGAAAACCCTTAGCCCAGGGTAATTATTACATTTAAGTAAGAAAGTCCAACTAATTCAGCAAAAAGAAAACGCACGTTTCTTGTTTAGAGTCGTGAACGCGTTCACACAACATAACTTTCGGAATACATCGCTTGTATGCTATCAGAAAAATGTGAAGACCTTCGTACGAAGAAGGGAGCTGCAGGCCTACAGGACCCGTTTGCGGACGTCGTGAAAGCGTCGGGCGGGGCTTGCGGAAAGGGGCGGAGCTAGGGGCGGTACCTGCGCCGGGCGGCTGCGACGTAGCTCCGCCCCCAGCGTTGGCGCGAGATCCGAACGTCGGCAGAGGTGGTGTAGTCATTCTCTGAGAAGTTCGGGACCCCCATCCCCTTGCCGGGTTGGCTTGGCCACTTCAGCGGCCATGAGACGCGGAGGACCAGAGGAGGGTGCCTGCGGCGTGTGGCTGGACGCGGCAGCCCTGAAGAGGCGGAAAGTCCAGGTTGAAAGTTGGGGAAAGGGTTAGGGGCCAGGAGGCGTGAGAAGGGAGTTTGGGGGACCCAGAGGTGATGGAAGTAAAATCCAGGACTGAGAAAGGAGCAGCTTTGGGAATTGAGAGGTGATAGGGAGTGGAGTCTGACAAAGGGTGACAAATGGGGTGTGGGGAGGGTGAAGAGAAAATGAGGAAGGCAGGCTGTGAAGGGGTATGGAGAGACTGGGACAACAAGGTTTCGAGGTATGGGGAGAGGTGGAGAAAAAATTTGCTCTCAGGAGTTTGGGCAGACTAGTGAGGAATTAGGAGTTCCTGCAAGGCAGCAGAAGAGGCCGAAGTATTGGGAAAGAGGGCATATGTAAACTTGGTAAATTCTCATCCTGAGAGACCGACAGGTTGCAGGAACTTTCGGTGAAAGAAAGGAGACGGGAAGGGGAGCTGGCCTGTTTATTGAGCATCCATTGGGCGCCAGATACTGTTAAATACTTAATATACATTATATGTTGTTGTAGCTGCCAGCCCCTGAAAGACATGGACCACCAGAAATCAGTGAGTTATAGGAAACATGCTCTTTATTCAGCCAGCTGGGTCTGCCAGGGGTACGCAGACCCCAAATTAAGCAGCCCCAAAATGTAGAGGTACAGGGTTTTTAAGCCCTAAATCCCATTCCTCAGTCTGTCTTAAACACAAAAGTCTATTTTTCTCCTATTCAGTACCTGTCAACCCACAGGTCAGGTGTGCAAGCGGGGATACAGAAGCAGAAAGCTCGTTGTTAGAATGTTATGTTCCCATGGGTGATAGCCTATGTTCCCATGGGCGATAGCCAAGCAGTAATTTTCTAGCCAGCACAAAAGCAGCTATCAAGTAGACGCATGTTTGAGTTACAAGGTCAGAGATGAATAAGTAGTAGCTACTGGCCAGTGTTTTCAAAAACATGCTCATTCACACTTGATCCTTAAACAGCACTCTACTATTTTGGGTAGAATGGGGGCGGTTTGTTGTCTGGCCAGAAGGTAGGGACTGACATTTGGAGAAAGTTTGCTTCTCTTCTGGGCTGACTACCCACAGAAGTGTGGCATCTTGGTCTCATTTTCTAGACCTTGATATGGCGGATACTGTATTTGTTTTCATTTTAGTCTATTTTATGAGTGTAATATGTTTTTTTTTTTAAAGTATAGAATTGTGTTAAGTAAATAAAGGCCTCATTGGCAGTAGCTACTATTAACAATTAGATATCCTTTGAGACATTTTCTATAAATATATATATATATTCCCCCCAGAAATAAGATTATATCAAACATTGTTCTGCTTCTCAACTTTCACTAAATATATGATGAGCTTCACATGTGAGACATATGGGTTTTTTTTAAAGGCTAAATTTACATAGTTTTCAAATTTTGTATTTTAACTTTGCTGCCTCTATTTGAAGATATTGAGAAACATTTCTAACAGGTTTTCTTACACATTAAAGTGGTAAAAAGATTTAGTATGTGATTTGTATATTTGCTCTTAGGCATATTATATTTAAAATGTCATAACAAAGAGTAATATATTTCTCCTTCATTATAACAGCAGTTTAGTTCCTTACCTTTTAACTATGTAGCAGGAAAGGAGAAGGGGACATAATTAAGAGGGAGGTGCACATGTAAAGATATAAGAAATTTTGGCTGAGTCATCTGGTTTCCAGGCCAGCCTTGCTGGAGAATGCCACTTTGACACTCTAACTTTACTGACCTTCAGTCAGTCAGCAAATCCTCTGGTCTCTGCCTTTAAACGTATTTAGAATCTCATCATTTCCTACCATTTCTACCATTGCCAAGAGTGACCCTTATCTCACTAGTAAGTTTAAAACCATCTAGTCGTTTCCTGTCTTCCAGTAAAAACCAAAATCTTTTTAAGGCTCACAAGGCACGATCTGGCTATGTATGCTTTCTCACACCTTTTAGGCCTCATGCTCTTTTCTATGCCTCACTTTGTTCCAACCATATTGGCCTTCAAGCCAGGTACACCCATGCTTGGGACTTCTGCTTAAAGTGCCATAAGGATTAGAATGCCACACGACTCTGCTTCTTCATTTGTTCAAATGTCCACTTATCAGTAAGTCCTTTTCTTAACCACCATAAAGTAGCCTTTCCCTATCTCCTACTCCTCATACTCCCTAACTACTTTAGTCTTGCTTTATTTTTCTCCATACCACTTTTTACCATCAGACATACTATATACAGTTGAACCTTGAACAATGCAGGGGTTAGGAGCACCAACCTGCCATGCAGTTGAAAATCCACATATAAATTTTGACTTCTCCAAAACTTAACTACAGTCAGCCCTCAGTATCTGCAGGAGATTGGTTCCCGGACCAAAATCCGAGGGTACTCAAGTCCTTTATATAAAATGGCATAGAATAAAGCATACGGTCGGCCCTCCACATTCATGGGTTCCCAACCATGGATTGAAAATACTGTTTTCGATCTGTGGTTGGTTGGATGCGAAACCCATGGATATGAAGGACCAGCTGTATTTACTGAAAAATACCCGCATGTAAGTGGATCTGTGCAATTCAAATTTGTGTTGTTCAAGGGTTAACTGTACTCCATTTACTTGTTCATTTATTGTTTTTCTTCACCTACTAGAATGAAAGTTCCATTAGTTCTTCAGTGTCCAATACTGTTTGGTACTCAGTAAATATTTATTGAATGAGCAAATGAGTGAATGAACTAATCTATCCAGGCTTTGCTTTCAGAACCTATTAGATAGAGTTATAGTTCCTTATTCTCTTTCTCACTCTGAGAGGATAAGTGGGAAGACTTTGAGCTTTTTAGAGCAAAGGTGGATGGGAGACCTCTAGTAAAATGGCAGTTAAAGTATGTACTTAAAAAAACCTCCCAGATACTTCTTGAAATGATAAAAGGAGAACCAAAAATAGAGAAGAAAAGTTCATTTTCACTGAACTTGAAAAGGCACAATCAAACTACTGAAGTCTATGGTAGCAACACTGTTAGGGGTTTGTACTGTAAGACTGATAAAAGTCTATAAATGTACTTAATAAATGTTTATCAATATGATCTTTATGTAGTAACTTATGATTTGTAAAACTTTTTTACATGTTTTATTTCACTTCTTAATAGCTTTGTGAGCAGTGAGATTACCCCTACTTTACAGATTAAATTTAAGTTCTGCTAGAGATGTGTTCAAGATCATATTAGAGTAAGTGCAGCTCTAAGGCTTGATTTCCAGGTCTTCTAACTCTTGATCCAATGTCTTTTTATGTGTAAGACATCCTCAGATGATAAAGAAGTGATTAAGCTAGTTACAACCCTGGCAGCAGGGAATATGATAGGTACACAGATAGACTGTAAGTACCTCAGAGGCATTAGGATACTGTTCTAAGGGTTTAGAAGAAGAGATTATATTTGATCATGGGTGGAGGATTTAAAATATATCCACAAATTCCTTTAATACACCTCCCTTTAAGTGATGGAGACTAATGCCCCTTCTCTTGAGTGTGGGCTGTGTGAGTGTGACCAATGAATAGAATGTCATGGGGGGAAGCCAGCTGCCACTTATGAGAATACTCAAGCAGCTCTGTGAACACGTTCAAGTTGTGAAGAACCTAGACCTTTGCCCAAAACAGTGAGCGAGCCACCTTGAAAGTGGATACTGTAATCCTGGTTGATAGGTTGAATACAGTCTAATGAGATTGCGAACCAGAACCACCCAGCTAGGCAGCTCCCAAATTCCTGTTGCACAGAGGTTGTAAGATAAATGTTTAAGTTGCTAAGTTTTGTGGCAATTTGTTAATGCTGCAATAGAAGCTAATACAGATTTTGGTTCTGGAAGTAGAGAGCTGCCTAACAAAAACCTAAAATGTGGGAGTGGCTTTGGAATGGGGCAATGAGTGGCAGCTAGAAGGGCTTTGAAGAGGGTGCTAATGAAAGCTTGAAGAGCTTTTAAGAAACTAATTCTCCAAGTGTGATGGCCTTCAGGAGTCTGTGGGTGAGGGCTTAAAGGAAAGTGAGAAAAATCTTATTGGAAGCTGGAGAAAAAGGGGATCCTTATTTAGTGACTGAAAGTTTAGCAACATTGTTTTCCACAGTAAAGTGGAAGGTAGAAAATGTACCAAAGAATTGAGCGATTATAAGTAAAGAGATTTCCAGGCAATGTGGAAAGAAAGTGCTACCTAGTTTCTTTTTGCTGGTTTTACAAAATGTCAGCGGAGAGAAGCTAAAGGAAGAGCCTGTTAAAAAGAATCCTAGACTTGTTGGTTTTGAAAATTCCCAAACTCTCCAGATGGCAAAAATGGGCTTTTCTTTGCAGAAAGCTTTAAAACTATTACTTCAATCTCTTGTTATAGGTATGTTTAGATCCACACATGAATTAGATACTCGACATCAGTAGTTACTAGGGTGTTGCTGTTGTGCTGGCTGGAAAATTACTGCTTGGCTATTGCCCATGGGAACATAGGCTATCGCCCTTAGGAACATAGGTTATCACCCATGGGAACATAATGTTCTAACAATAAGCTTTCTGCTTCTGTACCCCCGCTTGCACAACCAACCTGTGGAGTCTGTGTACCCCTGGCAGACCCAGCTGGCTGAATAAAGAGCATGTTTCTTATAACTCACTGATTTCTGGTGGTCCGTGTGTCTTTCAGGGGTTGGCGGCTATAACACTGTGAACAGTTAGTGCTGTCCATTATGCCACTGGAAGAAGACACTAGAAGCTTCATGCTTGGAATTCTCTTAGAATTTGCCCTTGGTTGATTTTAATCTGTATCTCTTCACTGTAATCATGATTATAACAGCTTTCAGTGAGTTCTGTGAGTCCTTCTAGCAAATTATCAAATCTGAGAGTGGTCTTGGGGACCTTCAAACTTAGTGTCAGAAGTGAGGGTCGTCAAACATCTATTTCCTACCCCTGTGCCCCACTATTCATACAAATGCCCACTCCCCCTCCATTAGGGGAATGCAAATCAAAATCACAGCTAGGTACTACTTCACATCTACTAAGAT